CAGTCTCTGATTAGCAGAGGTGGCTCAGAAACAACATTCTTTTCACTAGCAAGGTCTGTTCTCATGTCTCATAGGGTCTTTGTGCCTACAACACTCACAGAGGAGCTTGGGGCAGAAAATTACTCCTCATAGCAAAGACTGAGTTGAGGACCATTTAAGCACGTGTGTTGAACACAAGTCCCAGAGGAGACACATCTGAGGGCTGCAAGGACAAGGGGCTGATGTCTCTGCAAATATCCTCCTGTCTTGAGAGGTGCCCCAAGCTGTGACTCTCTGAAACTATCATTTTGTGATAATGGTTTGCAGAATGTTTTCTAATGACTAACTAATGGAACCAAAGAACTTTATCAGACAGGTCCCCAAAGACACTGGGATTTAGGGAATTGAAAACAGATGGAAAACTACCTAATGTTTCCTTGAAGAAAATGGCTGAAGCCAATTACATGTAAGAGAAACCTCCAGGTAGCTTAAGGTTGACTGTGAATGCAACATGCTGTGGAACATTATTTGTGCTGCCTAAATTAAAATTTTAAGTGTTCTTGATAAAACATATTAGGCATCAGGTTTTAAAATAAATGCATCCATTATGACTGCTAAAATTCTATGGATGGTTAAGGGTGTTATAAAAATAAAGCCATCTTTCCAGTTAGGCAGTAGTGTCATGAAATAAAAAAGAGGACAATAGCGTGACAGGCCCATCCAGAAAGAAAACACTTAGTCATTGCCATTCTTGGAAAACTTAAAATATCACTGAATGATGTAGGGATGTCTGCAGGTTATCTGGCCCCAGCAATTGCTCAAGTCATGGCTAAGTATCAGGTTAAATTTGGTTACTGAGGGTGTTTAGTTCTTCAGTTTTTTTCTTCCACCTTTATGGATGAAGTGTCAAGAATCTCTTTGGGAAGTCACTCTCATGGTGATTTTTTTAAAAATGTTTAATCAGAATTTCCCTGCACAGTTTTACCATTGTCATTTGTCTTCTCACTGTCCACCCCTGAAAAAGTATAGCTTCATCTTGACAAAGCTCTCTAGATAGTAGAAGAAATTATCCTTTCTGGATAACTTCTTGATATCCCTTTGGAAGATTTGTTGCTGTAGCATAAAGAAGTGTCTCATGCAGAGCTGTGGTGTTCAGACTTTTACAAGATTCTGACTCCCATCCACTCACCTTTGTAAAGATTTTTTAGAAATCTAAAGCATTTTTAGAAATGCTTCCTCTTAGATCAATATTTTTGGAAGAAACTGATGAGATTAAGGGAAGCTGGGATAAAGACCATGGCTGCAACAGGAGCAATTAGGGTTTTTTTCCCCAAAAATTATTTCCATTAAGGATTTGGTAAATCAGAAGTTGTGGACTCTGAGTCCTTGAGTCCTAAAATACAATCCTCCTCTCACCTAATTTGTGTCCTTCCAAATGCATTTACTTTCACATGGGAGATCACAACTGGAAGAAGAAAGGAAGAAACTGTATTTTCCCCTCTTCAAACACTGTGTTAAAACACTGAGGATAAATCTTTTATCAGTAAGTGCTAAATTTTCCTGATCAGTAAATTAACTTACAAAATCTTTCTGATTGCCTGGTAAGGTATGTTTATCTTCATATAGATGGTTACTCCTGTGAAGTTCTTCTTCACTTAATGGTTCAGGGATGTTTTGAAAAGCTTTTAAAATGTTGTGTTTATGTATGTTAATTTCTCTAAAAATCTTTCCAATCAGGAAACTCCTACCAGACATACCATAGAAAACTACCTCAAATTTTTCCTATGACATTGTTTCACACCAGGCTATGGAGACATCATAAGAAATAAGAGCTTTTCAAGGCCAATAACAGAGCTTAAGATTCCTGAATTAATTGCCTATTTTTTCCATGGGTGTCATGCTCTGCTGAAATGGCACTGGAATGACACATTTTAAATTGTTTCTTTCTAGGATGTGATGTATGAACAGTCATATTATTTCAGCAGAATCAAACAACTGGTGAGATGCACTGACATGAGCAGAGACATATCCTGAGCAGTCTCAGAAGTGGTGACATCTGTCCTTCAGCTCTGATGTTTTGAATCAGTACTGCAGCTTTGACTGCCCTACAAATTAATACAATATGGGTGGATGTGCATTCAAAGCTCATGTCCAGGGCAGGGCTGTTTGGAAGCAGCTACTCCTTGATCATTCTCCACGCAGACATGCACAGCCTGGTTCCTTTCCCTTGTCTGTCTGAGCAGCCCCAGCCTCTCTGTGTTGGCTGTGCGAGCTTGCTGCCAGCTGGAGCCCTGACAACACTGACGGTGCTGTTCTCTGTCAGACAGGGTAACAGACACCAGTTACTGATTTTTTCCTTTGTTCATTGTAAACAAAGATCCCAAAGGATCCAAAGCATTCTCCCTATTTGGATCAAGTGTCTTCCTCCCATCTCTGTGTTTGTTTCCCCTGCTGAATCTCTTTAGTGTCATCCCATCTGCTCCTTCCCCTTCTCTTGGAGAGCCTGGCAATTCTACAGGTGCATCCTGAGCTTTGCTGTTCCCGAAGAATTTCCTGCTGCCACCAGTGCTGCTTCTTGTATTTTGTAATTCCCAATTCCTTTTTTCTTTAGCCAAAGTGCGGGGCTTGTGACAAAACAAAGTCATAGCTGGGGTTTGCACATTGATTTTGCCAAGAAATGAGGCAATATGCCAAGAGATCTCCTACATACCAGCACACTGCTCTGGTGAAGAGGGACATGGAGTAGCTCCAGAACAGTTTGGGGAAACAGGTTACTTCATTCTTTTGTATCATCTTCACCACTTTTTGTTATGCCTTTCTATTATACATGTCAGAAAATTATGTCCTTGGCAAACTAGAAAACCACATTCCGAAGTATATTGTTTAAAGCACAGTTCTGAAGAGTGGGAGGCCCAAGTTTAATGACTCATTCATTCTACTTGAGTCAGGATATGAAGAAAGTGTTTTTTACTGATGACATATTTAATTTATAAAGAAATTTAAACAGCTGTGATAGTTGAGCTTGCAAGTGAGAGTTGTACCAAAGCTACATCCTATCTGTGAGGGATCTTACCACGATTTCTGATGAGGTTACTGTGCTTTTTTTGTGCAAACCATTTTCAAGGTTTAATTTAGTGCAGAGGAAAAGCACATGCAGTAATCTCACCAACTTTCATGAAACCGAGTGCTTGTCTTCCAGCCAGCACTAATTGTTATGCTGCTCACACATTCTGAAGAGAAATACCCACAAGGCTCCCATCCCACTGAGGCAGCCAAGGAAACAAAGTCGATACAGAATTAGGCTCTTCAACTCCAGGAGTGTGTAAATAGCACAATTACTCCTACAAGAACTATATAGGGTAGGTATGCCACTTGTAAAGGCTTTATGTGATGGCTCAAAGGTCAAAACCAAAAAAACTTGACAAAGATCTTGTCTAGCTGACAGCTATGTAAAATATGCATTTGTATGCATGTGTAGAAATATTTGTCTGGGATTTAATGCTGCATTTTACAAGAGTATTGGTTATACTTACTGTTCTTAACTGCTTTTGAAGTGACATATGTCATATAACCCCATGCTAATGTGCAGTGGTGACAGAAAGTTCTGGGTGAAAGCCCAGAGCATACATTCTGAGTTGTGGAAATACCAGCTCTGGATCTTCTGGTACCTTTCATCAAAGCCAAGGGATAAGTAAAAATTAACACAGGCCAGCATTTCCTACAGTTGGAACTTGGTATCAGAAGATTAAAATTTCCATGGGATACTTATTTCTATTATTTTTTTCTTTGCTTGCTGCTTTTCAGAATGGCACAAAGTGACCTAGGATCTTTTCCACATCTGTACCTTGACACAGTGTAGCAGATAGAATGCCTGTCATTTCTTTAGCACTCTTGACTTTACCAGCTGCAAATAGGGAAAAAATAAAAAATCTTCCTGCAGTTTGGTAACCAGAATTCACCACAGTCTTGACTTATAATTCTTGTTTCTGCCTATGGTACTTAGATTCTTTGTTAATTATTTATTAAGTACTGTAACTAAGGACATAAGATACTCCAGGCATACTGGAGGAATTCTGGAGGATCGTCTCTGTCTGCACTTATGGAATTTACCACACTTACTGCTTCCACAGCCCACAGGTATTCTTGGTCAAATGGCCACAAGTGAGACATCACTTACATAATTTCCACAGCACTGCCTGCTGCTGGAAGGAAATGTACACTATAATATCCACCTTTGTTTTCCTCTTACAGAATTTCCAACAGTATCATTTTCTGCTCACATATTCTGCTAAAAATACAAAGTAACTCATGTGAATGGAGATCAGGTTCACCTTAGCTGCAGAGACAGGGAGAAGGTAGCAGGAGGGGGCTGCCAGGCAGCACGGGCCCTCTGGCACAGGGTGAGGGGACATACGTGCCACCCTCCCAGGCTCCAATTTCCTGCAGCAGTCTCCCTGCCAGCCTGCACTGCAACTGCGCTGCTGCCCTGAGGGAATGAGGATCTCTGAGCTTGCCTTCATAATTGTCAGGAAGCTAGGAAATCAGATGCCTGTAGATTATAAACAAAATCTGACAGATTATATTCTTTGCCTCTTACATAAAACTGCATATAAATTTAGACTGGGTAGAAACGAATTAGGAAAAACCTGAAAATCAAAAAGAACTTGTGAAGTGTTTGAGCCACCCTGACATTTGGCTAAATTAAGATACTGTGCCTCCCCATACTGAGCTATTTTAAACCAAACTACTTGGCTCTGCTAAAAGCACTCTTCTTCCACTTCACACTATTGTTGAAGCAAAATACATCAGAATTATTTCTAGGTAATTCAGTTGAGAAGAACACTATCAGAAGAGTTAGCTTTCATGGAACAAAAAGTATTATTCAAATTATTGAGGTTTCAGGTCACATTTCACTACACTTATGATTGTTGATTGAAAACATAGTCATGTCAGCTGAATATCACATCGAGACCAATATGACAAAAATAAACACCAGCAGTATAAAAAGGGCAGAGAGGTGATCAAGTTGTCCTCACTTTATTCTCATAACTTTTTACTCCAGAGCATTCAGGACTTTACATTTAAAAATAGGCAGAGCAGGTGTGAACAGGTGTATATGTGTGCATGCTGGAAAAAGGAACTACTCTGAATTAGAGTTCAGCTTCTGTCAGATACAATGACTGAAATGCATGCAGCAAAAAGAAAAAGTAGGTTAGTAGGAGGAGAGAGTATATTAACTTCTATACAGGAATAAAGAATGTGAGGTAACTGAGTTCTTACGAGGTCCACAAAATGGGCACAGCAGGAAATACTGCCTTACTTTCAGTAGCTTCCACAGGTCTATCTGCAGAAATGCAGAAAACCTTGTAATGCTCCTGTACATGATGTTTTCATTTGCCACAAGTAGTTGGATATTAATAGGTTTACACAGCATTTTGGCACCCAACAGGACTCAGTATTAAATGATATACATATTGTTTCATCTGAAACATTTTCTCCCTCAAATTCACATCTGGAGACAGCTGTTTTTGTACTACTGCTAGTATAAATATGAACGGTTGAAACATTTTCACTCTATATTTGTGAACTTACCCAGGCTTGAATGAGTTTAAGGAAAAGGGCAGATGCCTTTTGGACAGCATGATTTCTCCACATTTGGCACAGCTCTTGCATTAGACATTGCTAATCAGAGCATTTTCACATTTTCAGAGTGTTCAAGACATAGCACAGGCTCACCTGGCTGACAGTCACTACTTCAGTGTAATACATATCTGTAAATAGTGCTATTCGTATTCTTATAGATGTAGAAATTTTAAAAAAAGTCACGTTCATGCTTCTCCCTCCCTCTGGGAGTAACAAATAACCTTATTGTTTCTTGCTTTGCTGACACTCCTGCCCCTCAGCTCCCGAGGTGCCAGTCACACTGCTCTTTTGCACAGATTAAAACCATTATGTTATACTGAGAACAAACAATTCACACTCAGCTTGAAATCTGCTGCCTCTAAAAGTCTCAGGAAACCTATGCATCTAGAACTTTGCCTTGCTGTTGTTGATTTTTTTTTTTACTAGCTATATTAGCTGGTTAGCTATAAATCTTTACAGATCTTCCCAAGTTTTTTAAGCAAGTTTGAGACACTTTATTGAACAGGTATTAAAAAGAAATTGCTGTCATTGCTACTGAGTTGAAGTAATGGGAAAAGAGGAAAGAACATTAGAAATAAGAAAATACTGGAAGAGGTTCTGAGTGTGTTGTTTTTGACATAAGGCTATGTATTAAGTAATCTCAATTGTTTAAACTGAAGTTATCCTACTTAATATTTTAATTTTTTTCCAAGAGAGAATTATTTAGCACTTTCTACAGAGTGTTTGGTACCATGTGTAACTGCCAGCACTGACTGTGCTGCTGGAGTCAATTCCATGCAGAGGCTGGAAAGCAAAAGCTGGCCAGCTGGGATGCTTGGCTTGTGGCTGGAAGTTGCCTAAGAGGCTCATGGCTGGTGAATGGTATTGAGCTGTTCTCTGGAGCTCACACACAGGGCAGCAGGTAGCACACAGCAGCCCTGATGATAGCTGGGACACCTGGCAGCCTCTCACACACTATCTCTGCAGCCTGTGGCCCAAAATGTGTCATGATATGATCTGCTGTGGGCAAACAGAAGATTGATCACAATTGCTTGGCTTTAGCTATCTGAGATGTGACTCAGGTACCTTTAGCTACGAGGTGTTACAGACACCTTTCTTACTACTCTGGTGGCTACTGTAAACAATAAAACATGAAACAAAACAAAAAATGAACAGGATGTTCAAAGAACTAATCAAAAAACTAAAGTTACAGCACAGATAGGAAACAATTTTGAGGCATAACACAGCCCAGATTTTTAAAGGTCTGTAACTTCTGATTTCAGTACTTCTGTACTTTCAGTACTTTTTTGTGTCTGAAACAGACACAAAAATCCTTCAGGCTGGAGCCTAAACCCACCTGTGATGTAGGCAAACCCAAATACATGTGCAATATAAAGAGATTTGCATTGAACCAAATTAAAGATTATTACAGGCAGGGAAACAAGACAAATAAGCAACTACAACATATTTTAAATACTTTATCTTTCAAACATACAACATGACACAGTTGCATCAGGGATTGAAAGGATGTAAATCTATTATGGACCCTTAAATCAGATTCACTGAGATAACAGGAACATCCTCTCCAAGATTCCTGGCAACCATTCTATACAAACACAAATAAATAATAAAGAAGCTAACACAAAATGTGCAAAAAATAGCTACATACAATTATTCTCAGTAGAATGACTACTTTTTTTCTGAAGATTTATGTGTTATCCTGGTAACTGGATGTCCTGGTGGTTTAGAGAAACCTCTAGCTGAAGCACTGGAATTCACACAAGTAACCCAAGAAACCTCCAGGATGGCATCTGCTGTCTCCTCAGTGTTTTCTGAACCCTGTATCCGAGTTCACTGCAAGCAGGCCAGTGTCTGACTTGGCAGGTTCTTATCTGAATTTGATATACCATAAATCACATTGTGGTGGAAAAACTGTGGAACTTTCTAGACCTGTTATTTCTGACTATTTGCTATCCAGTGGCCAGGAAACAGCCAGCTGAGGAACAGCTGTGCAGATGATGAAACAATTGATATTATGTAGTAAATTACTGCAGGCAAGTATGCACCCAGAATCTTGCTGTACCCTAGTTTTTAAGTTTAGCCCAAATACTGGACCACTTATAAAAGTGAGTTTACTTTCCCACTGCCTTACCTATTGCATCTCGTATTAAGTGAGCAATCTAAGATCTCTCCACTTGAATTTATGTTTCACCTTCCCAAACACAATAATCAGTCACTTAGTTTCCAAGGTCAGATGCTAGGATGGCTTTATAAACAAGTAATGATGTATGCTTAGTCTCATTTTTCTTTCTGAAATATGTGAACAGGAAATATTTTTCTTGGTTTAATTCTGGAGAATAAAGATAAGAGGAAATAGCAATGAACTTCTAGAAAAAGAAAATGAAGGATAAGGCTTTCTAGCAGCAGTGGGATAATTTTTGATATTAAAACAAGCCAGTATCTAGTATGCAAGGTTTTAATATGAAGGTTTTGCAGTCCTAAAAGCAGGATGAAACTGCAGTTAGAAATCAGCTGAAGCGAAATGTATAGTCAGCTAAGTCAAACAGAGGATATGGATTCAGTTGATTAACTCAGTACACTAAAGCAAATCTGAACAAAAAGCCTGCAAAAGAAACAAACATGAGCTTGTTCCAGTTGCCTCCTCTGTCTGAAGATATAGGTCCTCTTTGTGCTGCTGGTGCAGATCTGAAGAAGAGAAAACAAACAGGATGTTCACAGCACAGAGCTGAGTTAGGATTCTTTTAAATATCAGGGGTTTGTTGCCAAGGGTGAAGTTTGTGGCCCAAGTGCTAAGCTAGAAGTTTCTTTATATGAGCCTGCCAACAGATTCCCTTTGGCTGTCATGTTTCTATAAACAGAATATCTTTGCAAAACCCTGGGAACTCTTCTTTCTACATTCACACAAGTGCCTTCTTGTTTCTCTACATCCATTTGCTGTATCTGGCCTTATGCTTGTGATTTTATAGTGTTCTTCTAGACAGCAGTGGTCCTGGAGGAGTGTGTTTTCACAGCACTTGGTGCAATAGTACCCAGATCCACTTCTGTTTCTCCCTGACATTGCAATAGTGCAAGTAATCCATGCCACCACCACTAACAGCTTGCATCTGGCTTCCTTCCTGCTCACATTTGTAAGCCATCTCTGCCATCTAGTGGGTATTTTTTACTCACAAGTTTTTTTCTAACATCAGGGTGTCACCTTAGCCTTCAGCTGAAGTCCAAATTTGACTGAGCAGGAACATCGTTCAAGTCTGGAGAGGAGTTAAGGGGCACCACCACCACACAAGAAACCCCAGGTACATTACAGCACCTTCTAGGCCATCCTTCTGCTACCCTGGCCCAGCTCTCTCCTGTGCTATGCCCATGTAACAGGAGTTGTGGTGACATAAAAAGTCATTATTGCCCAACTCTGATGCTTTTGGGCTCAGGACATTATTCACTGGAGGCTGAGAGGGCAGCTATCAGCCCTGTAATAGCAAACAGCCCTGGTGAAAGGGGATGCATGAACCCCTGCATGCTGTTCCACTGTCTACTATGGAAGTATGAACACTGACAGCACCTACTCTGCAAAGGAAACTTTTCCTAACACATACCCACTCCAACAGTGGTACCCCTATTGACCAGCCCCCAGTCAGTTAATGGACCATCACAGAACGCAGAAAACTTACCTAAGAAGGTAATCATCAAATCATTTATATGCATTTACTTAGGGCTCCTTCTGAAAAGGCAGCTATGGAGGTGGTGTTATTTACTGCAGAGAATTGAGTGATTTTGGGAAGAATGTAAGTATTCATTGGCTTATAGTGTTTAAATTATTTAAATTTCAGGGAGAGGAAATGATAGTTTTGCATTCAGATTGGGAAACTCTATTGTGATTTGGGATATATAAGAAATTAACTTATATATCCCCAACTTATTACAGTGGCATGCATAGAGAATGGAATAGAGTGCTCATGAAGGAAACAAGCAAGGAAACTTTTCCTAAGGAGGATGAGAACAGCTGAGTTGCTCTGGAGTTACCCCAGGAGAGTGTGAGACTGGTGTTTCAAGTACACCAGGGATTATGTTACTCTGAGTACATGGATGGGAAGGAAGGGGCGGCTGCTCCCCTGATTACACACTGCAAACGCCATGCAGCAATACTGCACAACTGCAGCCTCGCCCTTAGCTGAAAGGAAAAACACATTAATGGTTTCCAAAAACCTTCTCATCCAGGTTTCCTCAGCTGAGTAACACACACACATCACAAAACTTTGAGGAAAATTATTTAAAACCTGGGAGAGGAGAAAAATCTTCTGTCAAGTGCTCAATAAAACATTGTATTTTTCAAAGTCTTGTGCTTTTTCTTCCAGTTTGTTAATACTGTCACTATGTTCACAGCTATTATTTTGAAGGGGATAACTGTATTTCCATTTGACACGTTGTCCTGGGGTGACCATTCAATTTTAGAACAAGGAAACCCTATTTTATTCCACTGTGCAAGGGCATTTTGTAACCAAAGCCCTAACAGGAAGTCTGTTCTATGAACTACTGCCTAGAGGTCTGGAGCTATCAGTGGTATTTATAAACCCACCATTTTCATAACAATTATATGCTGGTGCTAGGATATAATTTGCATGCAAGAATACATGTTGCATTGCAAGGTGAGTAACAGTTTGCAGTGACCAGCAAGAAGGGGGAATACTCACTTTCTCTGTAAGTGTGTACCAAGAACTGGACACATGTTAGAGAAGGTGATGTCCACCTCCTTTTCTGTACTGCATGAAGCACTACAGCCCCTCCCAGAGGCAGGCAAGCTGGGGCTGCACCCCTCTGCTGCCATAACCAGGGACAGCAAATCAGGACCTTCATAGCAGAAATTATCATTGCAATACCACACAGGTATTAACGCACAAAAATTTGCATGTGCTTGAATAGGGAAGAAAGGACAGTAAGAAATAAAGCATGGATTATCCATAAGAAGAATATAACCACAAAACAGTGTTTATGTATCGATACATTCTACAGCATTCCAAACAGTGAGGAAGTTCTCATTCAGATGTTCAAGTATCTCATGTGTACCTATATAAGCAACAGCATATAGATTATGAAACATAGTAAAAATTGAAAACAGTAATCTTTACTGTAAATTCACTGAAATACATAATAAATTAATTTAATGCTCCTCATATAATATAGATAAATATGGATAAGCAAGGAGTTTGGGAGCAATGTTTGCTAATTAAGAAGTTATATCTTGGATGTAAGCTGCATTCTTTGTAGATAACTCACTGGCCCAAGGTAAATACCAAAATATAGAGATTAAGTCCCACACAAAATGGAAGATTTAAAGAAAAGTTCCTCAAAATTTAGAACTGAAAATTCCAGTAGTTGGATAAATGTGCTTTAGATCTGTTGCCATTTGATCTATACTTTGATTATTCAAGAAATGATATCAATGAAAGCAACTTCAAATTTGTAATAGATTTTATATCAGAACAGTGATATGTACAAACTTCACATCATCAGTGATATACAGTGTTACTGTGTGATCAATGAGAACCCATTAACACCTAATTTTGAACAGCAGGTGCTCACAGACAGCTGTGCATAATTTGTGAATAGAAACTGCTAATTCAATTCACAGTAACTAACAGATTCAAGACCACTGAGTATTGCATATGGAGAATATACAACAGGTGGTAGAGGTGGGATCTGTTGACTGCTGCCTAATTTATTCAGTTGTAATGACACTGGAATAGGTTGAGCTTCTTTTACTTACGATGCAAGGGCACACTTAGAATCATCAGGACTATCCAGGCAGAGTAAGAACATTACAGACCTGTGAAAATACTATCTTATTTAGCACCTTTCAGGCAGACAACTGAGAAAAAAAAACATGAAAAAAATTAAACAAATTCACAGTACTATCATGTGTAAATCTTCCCTTCGTTAAATTTATCTTACAATCTGTGGGAATGACTAGAGCTGTGAAACCTATTGTGAATATAACTGGTAATTCTGCAGACATTCAATAGTGTTTTTAACTACTGTTTAGATTTTAAATCCAAGTAAATGAGGCCGTCTTCTGTGTCTGACATTGAGTAAGTACAATGTTCCACTCAATCATACAATAAGACATAGTGTTTTGCTCAATAAACAACCAAAAAATGCCAAGTCTGAAAACTGTGACATCATCCCTCCTGAAGACATGACATTAATGGCACTTCAGTATTGCACAGCAAGAATCAAAATAGATAAGGTACTTCTGCAAATACAGCATAATAATAAAAGATTTTCACTTACTTGTAATTGTCAGTGCAAGTGACATCAAAACCAAGAGTTTTCAGCCTGGTTTCTAATGTCTTTACACTATTAGTTCCACAGGAATCTCTGTGAGGAAGGATTTCAATATTATTGCAAATCTTTTGTTATATAATTTCTTTTCATTGAACTTGATGGAATTAGTAAAGTAAATCCCCATTACTTTGCCTCTTCTGTATTCCATAACACCTCCAGAAGAATGGTGTACATTGCTCTTCATGCTTCATTTGCTTACATTACTGTTGTTTCATAATTTATCCTTTTTACAGTTTACAGAGTCTGGAAGATTAGGTTCAGCCAGTGTAGCATTTTTAGATTCTATTCACTAATAATCCCACATTTAATATTTGACTAGACAGAAAAAGACCTAAATAATTTTGTAAAATAGTGTTTTGTTTGTAATATTCTTTGGCAACTATTTAGGTAAGTTGATGCCATCTGTCTTTACAGAATAAGTTCATTTTAATAAATGAGTATTATACTTGCTGTTAGAAGCTTGTTCTCTCTATTGAATATTGAATAATAGAAAAATACAGAGAGAAAAAACCCAGAAACAATCCTCAACACAGCTCCTGTTTCTAGCACTGATTTTTTAATTTGTAGTCCAATTAGTATAAGAAAGTTTACAGAATCTACTGAGACTTCTAAACTTGCACCAACATAAAGTCTTAAGGCCAGTGATACTTATCTGCTGGTCAGTAAACACCCATGACTAAAGAAATCATATGGAGACCAACAAAGTAATTGTAGAAAACAATTAATAAAAATATACAATTATTCCCATGCATCCATTTACTGAAACATAAATTACAATGCAGTGCTTGTCTTAGCTTTTCTTTGTAAAAAGGGAAATTTTTGCAAAGATTAGCTGTATGTTTTTTCCCTCCCAGAGGGCATGATTCTTTGATTTAGAGAGACAGGCTGAAAAATGCTAATCTGAACTATGCTATGTAGACTCCATAGCATTGTGGTAAAATACACAACATACAGCCCAAACTGTTTGGACTGATCAGTTTTGTTATATTTGTTTATTACTTATTTGTTTGTTTGATTTATTTAAATTACCAAAATTAGACACTTTGAAAGCATACATTTTATTACTGGATTAATTATTGAGAGAAAAAGAGCCATCCGTTGGTATTTGCCCACTTCTACAAATTTTCAAACAGTTAAGATAGGTGAAAATGAAAAAAATGCATATGGCAAGGTGAAATAAATATTACTCATCAGCGCTAAATCTGAAATTCAGATTGACTTTTAGAAAAACTGTTCATGCTCTATCTTGATTCAAGGTCTGAAATCCACACACACATCTAACCAAGAGTTGGCTGCAGATCTAACATTAGAATTCATTTATATTTTCTCTAATTCTACTCTCTGAGAATGGTAGGTTGTGTCTCCTGTGTTCATGAAAGCACCCAAAATATTTTGTTTTAAGAAGTATGCAAATATAATCAAACAGAAAGATAAGGCGAAATTTTAAAGACAGGTACAAAAGGGAGAAACTAATTTTTATTTTGAAGACATAACTTACCTATCTGGTCCTTCAATATCATCCACAACCCAAATGGCAACTTGTGAGATTTTGTCTTTCTGGAAATTAGGTATTTCATAATCTGCAAAGAAACTGATTCAAGAAAAACAAATTGAACTATAAAGAACATGAAAATTAAATAGTCCTTTTCCTCCTCTGTATTAACGAATTCACCTAAAAGTGAACAAAAATTAACTTTTAAAAATGCAAAAACAAATCCAAAAGCCTTTGATACTTCCTTATAATATCTAATCTAAGAAGATATGAAATGCAAAGGTTGATTTTAATGTCTCTAGATTGGTTTTTTTTTTTTTTTTTTTGGTGAGATGCTGGCATTTCAAAGCCATAGATTTCTAATGTTTTTACCAAGATGTGATGTAATGATTTCCAATCTTTTACAGGTTTTTTCACTCAGAAAGCTTGTAAAGGCTGTGTCCTCACTGAATGCCTGGTCCAAGTCTGGGCCTTGGTCTCTCCTCTAACTTGCTATTTGCCTATCATGTGTCTTCTTAAGTGTCTATATCAGCACTACAGTGTCTCTGAGCCCTTTTAAATGTTCTGAGATCTCCACAGATAAGAAGGGACCATTAGTTGCCACTTCCTGGGTGGGACCAGCAGTGACAATGTGGGTCTGTCATCCCGGGGCCTTCAGGCTCTGCAATGCAAGCACAGGACAAGTGCTGCTTGCCAGTCTGTTGGTTCATGAAGTCAGAAAATTATTTTAAATTTTTGGAGAAGTGGATCAGGAGGACAGATACCAAGAGTTGCTTTCTCTGCTCCAGTCTGGTATGGTGGTAGCTGACCAAAGACCAGTAGCAGCAACAGCAGGTTTGCCTTTCTCTCCAAGGCGTCCAAGCCTGTCTAATACATAGTGAAAATATAACAAAAAATAAAGATTCCAACTCATTTACTCAGTCATGCATATTCTATTGCCAGAAAAAAAGAAGCTTGCTCCCAGATTTGGAGAAATCTTTAACTAAAGATGTCAGAAACTGTAGAGGAACAATGTACAACTGACTTCAGTAAAACCAATTTTTGAACTGGCTTCTATCATTAAAGAAATCTGCCAACTAAATTCATACTGTGTGAATGAGCAAAGTTATTTTGCCATGAAATGAGAAGTAAATCTTAACTGAAATGATATCAGGTGACTTAATGATGATTTAAGTGTACAAACTTTAAAATCTAATAAACTTTGAAAGGGGCTTTGAAATACTTGTAAACAGACCAGAGAGATGGTTAGGAAGACAGGCAGATCTTTCCGATTACTTTCTGGTATTAATTATTCAATTTCCAGCTTTTTTCAAACATGATCTCTTAAACAAATTCAGTCATAAATGGAGCAGAAGATACACAGCAAAGAAAACAGATGGAGCAACTGGCTTTGCTTTCTCCTTGGCAGTGTGAGATCTAGTGGTGATTTCACTGGTTAAAATACCACTGGACTGGCAACCCAGGGAACTGGTGGAATTAATGTGTGTGTGAGGTGTTTTTGAAATAAGGAATCTGTAAATTAACAGAAATAAGGAATCAATTTCAAAAATAAGGAATCTATAATAGATTCTGGATATTGGCCTGCTGCCAGGTATTACCATCTGCAGAAGATTTGATCCCAGCTGACCATTTGACCAACCCAAAGAGACTGTTTAAGTCTTTGTGATTAGCTGAAAGCTGTGTACAGAGACGTTCTGGGGGACAGAAGTAAGTAGTTAGGAGGTGTTTTAGAAAAGATGGTTCTTGTTTCTCTCTTGTCCAAAGATAAAATTGCCTTTTCAATGGTAATTTTTAGTCCTCAGTGAATACACAGGAGGAGGATGTCTTCTATGGGTTTTTAAAAGATATAATTTTTCATCTGCCTTGACAGGACAGTTGCTGAGGTAATGAAGGATGCATTTCTTACCACAGGCAAGCAGTCACTACAGACACATAGTAAAAGTTCTAAAGGGTGTACTTTTAAAATAAATTTTGAATGTAAGCTTAGATGAGCTTCTGCATGGTGGTACACCTCTGAATCAAGAAAAATACACGTGTCCTTAATATAAAAGGAACTAAGAAGGAGAGGAAGCTCATCTTTGCCATTATCCTCCTCAACAAACTTTTTTTTGCTTTCTGAAACAATAATAGACCTCAGACTACACTGTTGGTCATGGAGAAATACATACTTTCCCTTTAGAACTTACCAAGTTTGCTGGTAGGCCTGACAAAAGCTACACTCCTTGTAACAATATCCTCTATTTGGATATGTCCCTGAGGAGAAATTTTGTTAACATTCATCTTTTTGAAGATGTACACATTTTGCCAGAGCATTCACCATGCTTGCCACAGCAGTTTGTAAAATGCAGGAGTTGAAAGGATCGTTCCCATCCACTACGTATTAATCCTTCAGCTAGGGACAATTAACATTTGTCCCCACAACTCAGCAGACTTTGATGTAACAGGTCCTTTCAGCTACCCTTCCCATGCTTTGTGCAGCAGAAGACCCAAGTAACTGGTTGACTTTTCTTTTTTATAGTCGTGCAGACTCTACACAGAAAATCACACCACACAGGCTCTACACAGAAATCAGTCAGTTCTCTTACCCTGGCTGTGGATAAGCTCCTCCCTCTGCAGAACCATTCAGCAAGACCTGTACCACCCCCGAGCTGTGCCGTGCATACTGCAATAGATAACAATGCTTTCAGATCTCACAGGTTGGTCATGTAACTTGGTATTTCATTGCAAACAACAGTAACCAAGGAAAGAATTTTACCGTGAAAACTATCAGAACTGCAAAAATAATACTGGACTGGCACCCTATCAGGTCACTGAAGTAAAAAGGACAGGAACCAAACAGGCCATGGTTTAATTAACAGAATTTTAACACATTATCTAGCTAAGGTGAATGTTAAGTTATCCATGCTTGAACACTGCAGCTAGTCTAAAACAGTGTATTTGTAACAGGGGAAATAATCCAGTAGAGTTACAGGTTTAAATCTGTTTTGAACTAGCAGTTCCTGAACCACCCTGGACACACTCGCAGATGTATGCAGTCAGCACTAATAAAATATTTACAGTGATCGAGGCCATCCTCCAGAAAGAATCCACTGCATTGTTTTCACACTCCGTCATGGTAGGGCAGGATTCATAGTCCAGGTCTGTGGGAAGGCATGTGATTTGTGCTATTAGAGAGACCATAATGACTATAAAAAGTGACTTTAGCAAGCAACTAAATATTTGTGCATCACTCACTGAACCCACAACCTATGTGTAACATAGCACTGAAAGCTGTTGTATTTTTTCAATAATTTTCCATCCTTTGTAGTTTACACACACAGTGGCATTCTGAGGATTCAGTAATTTGGCTGAAATGGTTCTAACTCTGTTCCTGGGATGCAGGGAGCTCCAGGTTCAGAAGACTAAGAAAGAGGTTTATCCCCAATGCAGGACCACTTAGATTTCACTGTGTGCTCCCCTGACTGCAGTGTTAAATAGTCACATGATACAAGAGAGAACAAGACAGTGAAGCCATCCCTGATTTTTCATGAGGTAAGAGCAAATTTGGTTTCTCCAGGACACAGTATTGGTCTCCATTGTGGTTTTACAGATAATAAATAATTAAATAGCCCTCATTGTCTTACCAGGGCTGTCTGCCTGCCCACACCAGTTCAGAAAATCTCCAACGAAGCCAAACAGAGTATCACCCACAGACATGTAACGACGTCCTCTGTCAGCAAAGCTATTGACCAGTAGCTGATTATTTTCCCAGAAAAGAGACTAGGAAAAAAAAAACATAGAGAAGAAATGTACCAACACTTGGGTGCAGACACAGTGAGATTATGGGGTATTGAAAACAGTTGAAAACATGTTTTGGTATTTCTTTCAAAATCAAGCTAATAACCAGAAATGTTAGCTACCCCTTTAAAGGAACAAAGTTTTTTAATTTTCCAGAGGTATAAATTCTGATCAAAAGTGACTTGAAGAACAGTAGTAGTTTGATGAGAAGGGATATGGTCCTATTTTAAATATAGTTAGGCCTAGCTTTGCCTGCCTCAGCAGACAGATTTAGGGGAAGAAGAAAAAAGGAAGATATTTATAAGCCAGATATATGTTACCAGAAATCTCTCACATTGCTATGTTGGCTTAGGGTGTGAAAAAACCCCATATGTCTAGATGTTATTTCTGTGTTTGTAGAACTCCTCATGGATTAAGCCATGTTGACAGTAGTATTTGTTGGTTTAGCTTGTGTCATTTAGAAATGAGGAATAATTGTGCTAGAGGAAAAACTGTATTAAAGCACAATACGTCTTTTGTACTTCCATGGTTCTTTGCAATTGCCAGCACATCAAACCCTTACTGTCCTCTGGCACAGAACAATGTCCTCTCTCATTTCTGCTTTTGCTTGTTCAGCGCGTCAATGTTTAACATGGCACTGCCATGAGACTTAGCTGTGAGGAGTAAAAGCAAAAAGTGATAGCAGGCACAGCATTTGCAACCAGAGCACCTAACTTAAGGAAAAGTAGAAGTGGAAGTTCAAGACCTACGGCAAAGCTCCCAGCACAACAGGAAAAATGGGGGTCTCTGTAGTGTGAAAAGAGAGACATTGCTGAGAAGTTACTGCATAAAATAAATGGAGCCAAACACATCAAAACATGCTATCAAGTCTGAGTCTAGTTTATAAACTACAGAGCAGTAAAAAAGAGTGACTCACAAATCAGTTACAGAATGATTCGTCAATTTTGAATGTGTCATCTGTTGTATGTCACAGGGCAATTAACATAAAAAAATTATTACCTTGTTAGGTGGAATCGTGTGAAATGTGAGGTTGATAAATAATTCATAATCCTCAGGTAGAATGCTGCAAGGATCCTTGTTAATAAATGCATTTTTAAATGCTTCCCATATCTGTGAACAATTCTTCTCACTGTAATTATTGAAACAAACAAATAGCAAAATTGTTTTTTCAAAGCTGAGCAAGAAAGATATTTGTTCCCAACTCCTTCAAATACCCCAATTAAAATCTGTATAAGGCTAAGGCAGAAAACTGAAGTCAGGGTGGTAAAACACTTGTAGCTCAGGAAGACCGTAGAGATCTTGTCTTCTGAGTCATAACTGCAGCACATAAGGAAGTAGTAGCAAGGAAAATATTAGCATTTACAGTGTGGAATTAGAAACACATTATGATTCAACAAAAATCTTAGTAGGTATGGTGTACACAGTGAGTTTGCTATTCAACACTGTAGAAATACTGAAGAAAAAGCTTTATCTGAAATTTCCCAGATTCAAAGAGCCATTTCAAATGAACCATAGCTAAATATCCAATGCTGCTGGAACACAATACTATTCTTAAAATTTCAGATTCAAATGCAGGTCAAGTTGCTAAAAAACTTCTATGGTAATGATTGTCACCCTGTTCTTGTAAGTTCTTCTAAGCCTTCTGATGTTTACATTTTTGTAATGGAGTTCTCATGCACTTTTATGTTGTTTTTGCATTCCTTTCTGGAGGAGGAAAAATTTGATGGACTGTTGGTTGACCAGTGTCATTGGAGAGGTGGCAATTTCATCCTCCCATCCAGGGTTACTTTTCAAATTCTATATATATCGAGGTCGAGAAATAAACTTCCTTCTTTTTACCCTGAAGGTTTCAGAGTGTGTGTCATTCATCTCATGTCCTGTTGTGACATAATGATGGTGACAGATGCCTTCAGCTTCTGGGCCCTGGGACTGTGCAGTTTTATCTTGCTGGAATCAGTACAGTGATCAGGGACTGTGTGACAGGGACACACTGTCACTATGCAGTAGTTACAAGAACTACAAGAATGTTGTTAGCATGCAACACTTCAAGTGTTGAAATAAGATGCTAGGCTGTGCACTCCAACATTTCCCTTCTGCCAGCTCTGTCTTGGGGACAATAAACTCCATGGAGGGACAAGACAGGCTGTCTACAGATGGAAGTCCTATCTCTTTGGACTTTCAGGATCTCACCTGTCACAGCTCTGAGCCTGCCAGGAGCAATTAAGAAGAGAATTTCTCTTTTCACCACTTTTCCACAGTACCTTCCCCACATAATGCTGTGACAATGTCTATACCAAGAACACTCTTCACAGGAGAATAATTATGCTATGTGCATACAGCCTTCCTGACATGAATAGCTGTCATTGCAAAGCCCTAGCTTGAACAACAGCAGTCCTGATAAATAAACAAAACTTTACCATTACAGTGTTTTGCTCATTTAGTATCATCCATAGACAGCATGGTTTCTGCTGGTACAGGTTCTTTAGGGAGCTGCTTTGTGACACTGAATGTCACAGACACTTTAAAGGAGCCCTTGTGATGACCTATGCAGGAAACAGACCACAGATTTTCTTACAGAAATCTCTGGGCATGCTTTCAACAACTATGTAAAAAATTCCCTATATACTGTAAGCACATATGGATCTTGACCTGGAAATTTTCAGTGATGCAACATGATCCTTGATCAGTAGTTTCAAGGTTTAAACAGATTTACTTAATAAAAGAATTTGGACTCTATTTCTGATTTCAAGCTGTTATACTTTGGCTTCTGACAATTGTATATACTTAGGTCTCATTTTGCTGAAGAGCTTTCTACTTGAAGCACTTACATTAGTACTTGTGGGTTACAATCAACCGAACTTTTAAGATCTTTCTTGACAGCTGCATCCATCAGTAATTTTCTGGTTAACTCACATATTGCTCTTTTTTTTTTTCATGACTTCTCACCCAGTTTTGAACAGCTTGTAAATCAAAAGGGTTATTCTATTATTCTGCCCTGATACTCTTAGCTGGCAAAACCACTTTTTGAAACTACAGGGTGGGGAAGGACTGCTTCAGGACAATTCCTTCTAATCTTAGTAGACACTAATAAGTCAGATTAATTTCACACTATTTAGTTAAAAAAATGGTTTTTAAAGCTTTCATGATATACTACAAATAAACAAATATGGACAAAAAGCATTATAGGAACATTTGTGTTATTTAGTGTACTCCTGTAAGGAAACGTCAAATATGATCTTAATTCAAATTCCTCACTTCTTCATGGCCACAGTGTTTTGTAAAATGCCTCTTTTTATTGCCATTTTGCATGCTCTATTTTAACACGTGGGAAAGTTTTTCTTATGTTCCTATAAACATCTTTATGTTTTAACTATCTTGCAGTATAAATACATGTTTTGCAAGCTTCCTTTAATTTAGCAAAGTATTTTTAGAAAAGTTGCACATAAGTTCAGAAGCAAAACCTATCCAGCTGGTCATGTCTCTGTAAAAGCTAGCCGGGGGCAACTAAGAAACAGACAATGAACAAAGGGCTATTAATAATTGTAATATCTATTTTGCAATAGATATTACAAGTGCAATTTTGCAATAGATCTGTGCAATGTGAAATTTCCATTTTGTTTGCATAACATTATTTGCTTGTAGACCTAAGGGAAAGAGAAAAATCCCCACATTATAAGAAATTAGTTGCGTAGCTCTTCTTTTAATAATGCCATTTTTGGTCTAAATTCAGGAAAGTAGTCCTAATGTCCTGCCTGGCTTTATGCTATCCTGAGCAAGAATGAATGAATACTTTGATGAATATGTTCAGACTTCTCCATTTTAAAATCATGTTGTGAAAATGTAACCAGAATTCAGTGAATCACAAAACTATCATAAACATGAGACGTATAGAAATGTTTTCCAGAATATTGCATTTATATCTCTAAAAGTCCAAATCAATTAACAATACAGTTCAAATTTCTACAGTAACTATCCTTTATGTTGCTCATTTTAGCATATTCTGTATTATTATTCATGTCCTGCTTCGGATATAGATCAAGGGGCATCTGTTAAGTCCTGCAGAAGCTCTACCTATCTAGAGCCTACTGCATGACCAGACTACCTACACAACTGTAAACTAAGTTCACATATTTTATATTATGTAATATATTGTAGGAATGTAGAAATCTACACTTAAAGTTTACTTCCACTTTCCATTGTGACATGTTTATAAATTTGCCAAACTTGAACTGAAATTCGTGCACTGTGTTATTTGCATTAGGATGATCCTTTTTCCTTCATAAAAAAACTTGAAAGAAAACACTTCTAATAGGTTAAGAGTATTATTGTGCAGAAGTATATTGTTTTGCCTTTGTTAAAAGCGAAAAATTTGTTTTAAGACCTGTATCTTCCTCTTTTGCAACAGGAACTGAAAATGGGAGGTTGGGGAATCGAGGTGATGTTTGCAATATCATCTAATCCTGTTTTAAGACAGCAATTCCATGCCACAGGAACTCAGACAGGGCCCCTCTGCAAATACCTCTTCACACTTTTAGGACAATTTTTAGTGACAGAATAAAGGGCTGAACTCTAGGAGATTGTCCTTCTTATTTTCTTCCTTTTTAGTGAAGCCATTGCAATGCAAGGAAGACAGAAAAGTGCTCATTTTAGCAAAGTGTGTGATTTACCTGCAGCTCTGTATAATTAACACAACCAATAGAAGCTCACAGATAATCCCACTGGAGCAGTTGATTAGCACTTGACTTGTCAGGTGGATGAGCTAAACAGGTTCCTTTAGTACCACAGGATAGCTGCAAAGTGAGGTGTTCCCCTTCTACATGACCTGATATAGGGGCATGCAAGGTAAAGCTGGTCTTCCCAGGACTGCTGTCAGATTTGGTACTTCCAAAACACCATCCCTGCCATTTCTGTGTGTTGTTCTCCTTTCAGAAAGTATTGGGGGGTGGGGTGGGCAAAAAAAGTGAAATAAAGAACTGAAGAATTAAGTCATGCCTCAGTTACTGTACTTTACTTAAAATATTACATCCAAGAAAGTAATATTGTTATTTCCAGACAGCTACAAGAATGTTGGCTTCAAAAGGATTACTTTCATGGCTAGAAGATAACATCAAGCTTCTGATTAGCACCCATTTTGTACAGAACATAAAAAACTAATCCAGAAACAAGCAAAACTTACCCAACAGCAGGGTTCACAATTCTAACATAATCATAGCATCTTCCAATGACAATACTTTCCAGGTTTTGAGTAGTACCTTCACCTTTCCATTTCTTTCCCTGCACTCCTGAGAAGCTGTTCATACACAGAACAGAGACAAATAAAAGAGGAAAAAAAAGGCTCATCATCATGAATTCTTGACAATCCAAATTCTTGACAGAAAAAAAAAAAAAATGGAGTTCAATGATACAATTTAAATGGAAACCTGCAGTCTGAACGTGTAATATTTTCAGTACTAACTACAGCTCAGTACACAAGACAAGGCGGAAAAAAAAACCTTGCTGGAAACTATAACCTAACTATTTCCTGCAACGATTGCAGCACAGGGATACATCACTTCCTCGTGTCTAAACTATTCCCCCACTTCAGAAAATCGAGAAACTTTGAAGGCCACCTGGTGATAACCGAAGAGAATTGCAGTATATCTCCGTAAAGCGAGGAAAAAACCCCTTAGCACTTGAATACTTAGGATGCCTTTGGTTGGCTTAATACTCGTTGATGTGCTACACTTCCCTAGACCATTAAAAATGCTTGCAAGCAAAACAAACCAAAACCTAAAATACGCAGTTACAGCAAGGACAGTGAAAATATCCAAGTCCTCGAGTTATCTTGTATCACACACAGGGGCAACATTAGTCAGTTCTTTTTCCATCTCTCCCCTGGACAGCGACAGTGGCATTTTGGTGTGATGATACGTGCATCATGTCTTTGTGAAAAAAACCTGCCTTGCAGTCATGAATCAATCATAACGAGAAATATAAGGATTACGACTTACATCCTGTGCACTGAACAAATGTCTTCAACTTCATGTCTTCATGTCTTCAAAGAGCTGTCATTCTCCTCCAGGCTCTTTTCCCTTAAATACTCTGTTAGAACATCAAAAGGCACCAATCAATCTAATCTTCAGAATATTCTCTGATACACCCTGCTGCAAATACAACCACACTGGGGTTGTTTTCCTTTAAAAGATAAATTCAACCTCCAAGTATTTTGTATGCAACCTCCAAGTATTTTTGCACTCACATTTTTGAGGACCATGCTGGTTCTCTCTTTTTTCTCTTTTCTTTTCTTTTCTTTTTCCTTTCCTTTCCTTTCCTTTCCTTTCCTTTCCTTTCCTTTCCTTTCCTTTCCTTTCCTTTCCTTTCCTTTCCTTTCCTTTCCTTTTTTTCTTTTCTTTTCTTTCTTGTGCCTCAGTGAATATATAAATTTTTGTGTACATATTTATGTAGTGTTACACTTCTGTTGATGCACTGATACTCAGCTGCTGGTGGATTTTGCTGAAAGAAAAATCTTGCTAATCATTGAGTAAATTCCTGATGATGGATTTCTGCTATAAACATGATAAAAGATAGCCAATTGGTTTGCTACCTGCAGCAGAGTCTTCAGGAAAGCCAGATTTACACAGAAATGGATATTCAATGTTGTGCTCGATTTGGTGGAGACACAGGAAATGATGTACTTTACTCCTGTTGCTTCTCTAATGCTTTTTCTTCCTATTTCTCTTCCTAACCTCTCTATGTCCATGCTGATAGGGTGCCAGAACAATAATCAAATGTTTCAAGTCAATACTTTGGATTCAGAATTAGAGAGTGCAATATCCATGTAAGCCACTGAATATTTTCTTTTATTATTAACTTTGCTGCAACGAAATTTTGCTCAGTAATTTCAGAATCTAACAGAAACCAGAATGTGATGTGATCTTCTATACATAAATGTGCAGAAATTGGCACTGATTTTTTGCATTAAGGCTAGAACTTTTGCTTAAAATATGCAGTGTAAGTTAAGAAGTCACATAGACAGATACTCTCCAAGTACCTACTAGGTTAGGATGCAGCACCTTGGGGAAGAAGATGTGGCTTCCCTAACAGACAGATAAGCTGTCAAAACATCCCAGAGGAACTGGATCCAAGAGTTGTTGGGATCCCCATTTCAACTCCTGTCAAGATTTCTTTCCTCACTGGCAACTTCTAGAAACACAGCATCAGGCCAGAAGGGCCTCTATCTGACTCAGCACAGCCATTTTAAATTCGTGTTCCTAGTTTTGTCCTAAATATTCCACTTGAGGTCTAAATTAACAACTTCCAAGGTTCCAGTGGTTTGATAGCCTCGAGAGAAAAACCTTAGCTCTGGCCTGAACCTGTCTACTTTTAGCTTCCAGTCACTGAATCTCATAATATCTTTTTTTGTTACACTCATGAAGAATCCATCCTCAGAATCATCTCTCCATGTAAATTCTTGTAAAAAAATTACCAAGTCTATCCTTAAACTAGTCCATGAAAATTCGGTATTTTAGTCTCTTTATAATGTAATTTATTTTGTAGTAATTCACGAGTAATTCACTTGTAATTCACTGCCACAAACTGGCTGCCCATCTTGCCTCCTGAGGTCTGGCAATTCATGGTGGATGCAGACATGAGTTCCTCGCTCTCTCTCCTTTCTCTCCTAGAAGATGTTATTGCTCATGAAGAAAAGTCAGAAAATTGGCAGCATACCTGCTCTGGAGATACTGTATTTCATGAACTGAATATTAACCCAAAAAGACCCCCATGAAATTCAGCACATGTTTACATTCTGAACCCCAGAAGATGAGGAACCAACATGTTCTCTCCTGTTATTTCTATCAGATAGGAGTGGTAAGTTCCAGCAGTAGGAAGGTGTAACAGATGGTAACCTTAATCCTCTGTTACTACTCAAGCATGAATTTCTGAATAACCTCAATTCTCTATGACCACATGCTTTGGGCCTGGAAATAGGACCTCATATTCACAAGCTCCTCTGTAAGCAATGAACTTCAAACATTGTTTCTTAAGGGTTTGTGTCTTCAGTGCATAAGCCTAGCTACAGCAGTAACACAGGGTCTCACCTGCACCTTTGTGTGCCAGGGCACACTCCATGTGAAAGACACGCTCAAGCCCAAGCCCAGAGCTCTGCTCACTTGCCAAGCAGTAAACACAGCTGTGTGCTGGCTAGCCAGCTGTGTGACACCTGGGCTTTGCCCTCCTTTCTTCCCTCCCATGTAACTGCTTTTTTTTTTTCCCCACCCCGAAGTTATAAGAATTTAACCTTCTGAGGTTTGTACGTATTTGCAAACATGGCTAAGTAGGTCAGTGTATTCAAAAGTCCTTTGAGGAGGAAAGGATTCATGGAAAATGCCTAGTACTGCAATTGCTTAAGACTAATTTCCTTAGATAAAGAGATAGAAAGATTATTGTGCACAGTGTCAGCTAGGTAATGCTCACAACACGAGCTCTTCTGCTTAGTTCACTATTTACTGCTTTTACCAGCATTTTATTCCCAGCATTAGTATGTTGAGAAATACCAGACTAAAAAACTCACATGACTTTGCTGAAACTATTTCAACATATTTACAATGAATTGCTTACACCTATGACCTCGCTAGCTCTTAATACATTTAATATCTGCAACATAGACCTTGTACAGCTTTCAGTCAGAAGGGTCTGCTGCACTTATTGTGTGTTTGACAAAGTATTTTGGTGACATTTACTGAACATTGCAATGCTTGTCAACAGTTTTACAACACTACATGTTGGTTGACAGTTACAGCTTTTGTCAAATCGATGTGCAATCTCAACTTGGCCCAGTGTTCCTGTTTACTTTGAAAAGTTGCACAAGCAGATCAGTAGGACAGGCAGGTGTTTCTGGTCCATTTGCCTCAGATGTTAAACAAACACACTTCACTTTACTTGTTTGGCACAAATGCTGCAAAAGGCTGGGTGCAGATTCCGCACTGCAGCATAAACAAATAGTTTTCCTAGGACCTTTCTCGATGAGGTCACACTGCAAACCCTGTGTCCAGCTCTGTGCCCCTCAGTTCAGGAAGAACACTGAGCTGCTGGAGCCCGTCCCGAGAAGGGCAACAGAGCACAAACCCTGTGAGGAGCAGCTGAGGGGGCTGGCGGTGTTTAGCCTGACTCTCTACGAACACCTGAGGGGCGGCTGTAGACAGCTGGGGCTTGGTCGTTTCTCCCAGGCAAGGAGCAATACGACACATCCTACACTGCTCCAGGGAAGGATCTAGGTTGGACATTAGGAAGATTTTTTTCGCAGGAAGGGCGATTAGACATCGGGATGGGCTGCCCAGGGAGGTGATGGAGTCATCGTCCCGGAGGTGTTTAAGGAAAGGCGACGTGGCCTCAGTGCCAAGGTGCACGCCACGGGCTGGAGCCCATGGCCTCAGAGGTCTTTTCCAGCCTAACTCGTTCTGTAATGGTTTTTACATCCACAAGCTGCGACCTTGGCGTTGCCAAGGCACCGACTCCCAAGTCGCGCAGTGCTGCAGCTCACTTGGACGACCCGAGGGCAGTGCACCGAGCGGGATCGCTTCCCGCACCGGGAATTCCCGGCAGGAGCCGCCCGGCCCAGCAAGGCCCGGCTCCGCCGCCGCCCGCGGGAAGGGGCGGGGCCGGCCGCGCACG